CAGGGGATCCCATAATCACAATCGAACAGGGGATCCCATAATCACATCGAACAGGGGATCCCATAATCACATCGAACAGGGGATCCCACAATCACACATCGAACAGGGGATCCCATAATCACATCGAACAGGGGATCCCACAATCACATTGAACAGGGGATCCCATATCACATCGAACAGGGGATCCCACAATCAGAACAGGGGATCCCATAATCACATCGAACAGGGGATCCCATAATCACATCGAACAGGGGATCCCACAATCACATCGAACAGGGGATCCCATAATCACATCGAACAGGGGATCCCACAATCATAACTGGGAGATCCCATAATCAACAGGGGATCCCATAATCAGAACAGGGGATCCCATAATCAGAACAGGGGATCCCACAATCAGAACAGGGATCCCTAACTCAGGGAACAGGGGGTCCCAATCAGAACAGGGGATCCCACAATCAGAACAGGGGATCCCACAATCAGAACAGGGACCCACAATCAAACAGGGATCCCACAATCAGAACATGGGATCCCACAATCAGAACAGGGGATCCCCTAATCACATCGAACAGGGACCCACAATCACATCGAAAAGGGATCCCACAATCACATCGAACAGGGGATCCCACAAACACATCGAACAGGGGGTCCCACAATCCCCATCGAACAGGGATCCCACAATCACATCGAACAGGGGATCCCATAATCACACAAGCACATCGAACAGGGATCCCATAATCACATCGAACAGGGATCCCACAATCACATCGAACAGGGATCCCACAATCAACAAGCCACATCGAACAGGGATCCCACAATCAAACAACACATCGAACAGGGGATCCCATAATCAAAACAAGCACATCGAACAGGGATCCCACAATCAAACAAGCACATCGAACAGGGGATCCCACCCAAACAAACAAGCACATCGAACATGGGATCCCAAATCAAACAAGCACATCGACAGGGGATCCCACAATCAAACAGGCACAATCGAACAGGGGATCCCCAATCAAACAAGCACATCAGAACAGGGTATCCCACAATCAAACAAGCACATCGACAGGGGATCCCCATAATCCAAACAAAGCACCTCGACCAGGGGATCCCACAATCAACAAGCACATATCGAACAGGGATCCCCATAATCAACAAGCACATCGAACAGGGATCCCACATCACAAGCACATCGAACAGGGGATCCCATAATCAAACAAGCACATCGAACAGGTGGATCCCACAATCAAACAAGCACATCGAACAGGGATCCCACAATCAAACAAGCACATCGAACAGGGGATCCCATAATCAAACAGCCACCTCGAACAGGGGATCCCATAATCAAACAAGCACATCGAACAGGGGATCCCATAATCAAACAAGCACATCGAACAGGGATCCCATAATCAAACAAGCACATCGAACAGGGGATCCCACAATCAAACAAGCACATCGAACAGGGGATCCCATAATCAAACAAGCACATCGAACAGGGGATCCCACAATCAAACAAGCACATCGAACAGGGGATCCCACAATCAAACAAGCACATCGAACAGGGGATCCCACAATCAAACAAGCACATCGACAGGTGATCCCCACAATCAAACAAGCACATCGACAGGGGATCCCATAATCAAACAAGCACATCGAACAGGGGATCCCACAATCAAACAAGCACAAATCGAACAGGGGATCCCACAATCAAACAAGCACATCGAACAGGGGATCCCATAATCAAACAAGCACATCGAACAGGGGATCCCATAATCAAACAAGCACATCGAACAGGGGATCCCACAATCAAACAAGCACATCGAACAGGGGATCCCATAATCAAACAAGCACATCGAACAGGGGATCCCACAATCAAACAAGCACATCGAACAGGCGGCCGGACAGGGGACACGAGCAGCAAACCAAAGGGCATCATCACAAAGTTCCTAACATAGGTCAAATATAAAATTCTAGACTGCCACCAAAACTCGACCTTTGATTTATGAGGACAATCTATCACATCACACGCAGGGTAATCAAA